AGGTGAATTAAGATACAGCGGCTATGCGGGCTTGGTCATATCGTACGAATGGGCAGAAACGCTCCAGCTCTGAAAGTATTCAACGGGGGTCGCGATGCTGGTAACAGAGGAAGAACTCCTCTGCGATGCAAAGACGAAGTGAAGAAGCACTGTGCTGCACTTGGCATTTCCAATTGGCGTCACTTACACAGCGTCAAAAATAAACAAGCAAAAATGTGACGCAAATCATTAAGCCTTTCTTCAAAAAAGATCCAGAGAATTTTGTAGTTAGTAAATAATTGGGGTATTCACAACGGTGTCGTAAGTAACGTAACTTTAAAAGCTTAAATAAATGTTTAGAAGACTTGAAAACACAGCCAACTATTTTTTAACACTGTGTGGGGGAACTCATATATTTTAGCTATTTAAAATTTACGACATACAACAATGTGACACCTTTGTGAATAACCCAAATACATATTTGGCTACAGAAAAAACATAGTTGGTGGAAACTAAATACCCGTGTGTATGAATAGAAATTAGATATTCATTAATATTGTTGAAATATTCATTCACCACTACAAGAAATTAGTGATGTGCCAAGTCAATACTTTTAAGTATTAATCGATACTCAGTAACGATGTAAATGAAAAATGTATATATATACGTGTGATGGTCCGTTGCCATAATGCAGAGGAACTCTTACTTGTCTGAAGCATTTTTGTTCTAGATTCATGGGGCGATATTGTCTTTGTAGGTTTGAAAGGCTTCTTATCAGCCAAAGCATTGTTCTTGAACCTTGGATCTACTAGGGTGAATACTAATAAAATAATATTGTACTGTTGCTACCAGTTCAAGTTTTTTAGCCGATATCATATAAACTAGCATTAAAATAATTTTTTTGTAAACATTAAATATATAAAGCAGCGAAGGTTTAATGTAAAGAATCGGTATTGGGTACCGAAAAGGAAGTGTTGGGTACCCTAATATTTTTGAAGTATTGGGTACCGGGTATTGGGGTCCTACACTTCAGCACATCACTACAATAAAGGTCGAAAAAGTGAGTATGTAAAATAAGAAGTACTTTTCCGGGTTATTTTATTTAATTCAATATACAAATCGACTGACTGACATAAATATGGGCACCATACGTATATGTATGTATGTACGTAGCTTACATCTGCCATTTTTTGTTTGTTTGGTGCATTTTGTTTGACTTAACTAATTTACGCCATTAAAGTGCATAGCCGATGTCTGGTTTGAGCGTGCAGCCTTGTCGTATAGTTTGTGAACAACTAAGCTTACACACGTAGTATGCATTTGTATGTACGAACTGGGTTGCCACTTTGGTAAATTGTTACCAAAATTGGTAGAAAAAATTTGGGTTGGTAAAAAAGTAATTTTTTTCATTTTGATGGATTTTTGTTGAATTATTTTGTTTGAAAACAAATACAACTTTTCGTTTCCGCTTTATTTATCGTAGTTATCTTTATATTATAATTTTTTTCCAAAAGTGTTGTCTACTTTATTGCATTAATTTTCGAACGCTTTAATGCACACTTAAATACACACGTATAAATGTAAGTACATACTTATGTCGATAAAAGGCGAACATATCGTGCTCCATTCAAAACTCATTTTACTGGAATCCCAAGAAGCTTTTGATTGCCTAAATATTTTAAATGATTATTTAAATTAAAAGAAAAAATGGACAGGTACATATGTAATTACGCACTGTGATTGTTTCCAAACGAAAAGTTTTAATTAACGCAATTTTTTATCAATGACAATTGTTAAAAGAAAAAAAAACACCAAAGACTGGCGACAAAAAAAATTCAAAAAATCCATGGAACTTTTAGCTACACATTGTAGGTTTTACTCAAACATTATAGGCTATAAAACTTCATACCTTAAAGTGTTCGAAAAATTCAGAGTAAGAAGTAGACGAAAATGTTTGGAAACGCAAACAATATTCTTGTACAAAAAAAAAAAACAAAAATACTAAAACAATTTTTCTTGAAAATAATTATTAAAAAAAAATTACCAAACAGCTTTTGGGTCACAATTTTAATTCTTATTGAAATAGCAAAAAAATTAACAAAACTATAGTTTTTATTAAAGTAAAGTTATTAAAAAAAGTTATTGGTAGATATTTTCCAGGTTTGGTAGATTTTTTCAAGTGGATGGTAAGTATTTTTTTTCGTCAGTGGCAACTCTGTTTACGAATGTATTTATGTATTGTTTGTTCGGCGAGAATTTTTAAAGTGCTTCTACCAATACATATGTATTTAAATACATTTCCGAGAATTGATAACGCAAAAAATAAGCTCAAGTACATACACACTTTCACATGTGCATACGAATTCGAATGTAAAATGCAAAATTTTTTTTATCTCACTTTCTGCTTAAACACGATACCAGTTTTTTCCACAGCTTAAGAGTTTAATTAGCGAATATTAAAGTGATCGTGTGTACACTTAAATGCGATGCATTTATGAACGACCTATATCACAATTTTTATTTTCTTTTGTTACTTAATTTTAGTCATAATAATAATAATAGATTGGCGCTTACACAAATGTTAGTGTTTGCCCGAGCTTCTCCTCCGATTTGTGGCATGCGCCTTGATGTTTTCAATTGTATTTTTATTAGAAGCTGCTTTTCATGGCAGAAATACACTCGGAGGTTTGCCATTGCCTGCTGTTAAGAAAAAAATTTTTTTCTATATTTTCTGCGATGTTGCTTTGACCAGGGCTTGAACCCAGGTGTTGCGGAGTGGAAGCGCGCACTGCTTACCACTACACCACAGCGGCCGACTTAATTTTAGTTATTTTTTTTTAATATATGTAGTTCATTCTTAAAAAAAAAAAACCGTCAAAATTTGAGTTTCAAACTTTGTGCAATATTTAAGAAAAATCAACAAACTTTCGTAAAAAGTTCGAGCTTTTTAACTAGATTATTTTGAGTATGCAGTTCTGAAGACCATTAAATCCTAGTACAATAAAGTGGAGGTTGCAAATAGCTAAAAATTGCCGTTGTTTTTTTAGATTTTTTTTTGTCGGAGATGGTACGGTTTTCTTCCATACAAAAAAAAAAATGTGTGTATTCGCTATATGGAAGCAACTGCAACCAACAACATTCTGAAAAAAACACAGAAAATTTGTAAAAATTTGTAGCTTGCACTTTATTAAGATACGATTTGAATAGGCCTTAAAACTGCAAACTCGAAATGTTTCTAAAAAATATAGTTAAAAAGGTCGAAATTTTTACGAAAGTTTGTTGATCTTATTTTTTTAACATTGCACAAAGTTTTAAACCAAATTGGCACAGTTTTCGTTAAAGAACGAACTATACGATGCGGCTAGAATTTTTTCGACCACTGTATATGTATACGTACATATGTACAGAATGCATGAATGTGTGGCTATAAGTATAAGTAGAATACAGGAAAGATGGGGAGAATCGCTTACAGATCACGGCTGTAAAAATAGTTGTTGAGAACTCCATCACTAACTAAAATACCCAATGATTATTTTGGTTCTCCCTGCTAATTTATTTTGAATGAAGGCTTTGGATTGTCTGTTGTCTTTTGACGTAGTTTCTATAATAAAAATTGAGAGGCCAAAATACGTGAGTGCGAAGAGCTTGAAATGCTGCCAAACAGTAAAAACGCCATACAACTTGGACAGAAAATTAATAGCTACTGCGATGTCGTGACCTATGTCCAGAATATAATGGAACTATGAAAGGAGTGCCCCCCTCAAAGATCCTAGAAATCAGCTATTCAAATATGACGACGAGCACCTGATAAGGTGCATAGATAAGCCCTTGAGAAGAGTATGGTCATATGAACGCATGCTTAACTATTGGAGTTAAAGTGTGCCTTGACCAACAACTACCGAGGGATAAGCCACTTAAACATTGCATACAAGGTATTAGCAAGCGTATTGTTTTAAAGCCTCTCTTTATCTATTTCAAAGTCGATTTTGACAGTACGAAAAGAAGTTGGCTTTAAGCCGCGATTTCTGAATTGTGTATCCCCGCGATGCTAATACGACTGTGGAAAATCATGTTGAACAATAGTGCCAGCTTCGCCAGTATTGGGAAAGATAACTCCGACTTTTTCATACAGAGACATTCTCGTTCGCCCGATTACTTTAATCTGATATTGGAGAAGATTATAAGAGCTACAGAGTATCAGTATTAACACTGATAATAATGCCAGTCTAGAAATGCATTGACGATTAAGGCAACTGAGAAGTAAAGTTCTCTCTCGACGTACGAAAACCACACTCTATAAGCAACTCATCACGCCCGTGCTGATGTATGGCGCAGAAGTGTAGACAAAGATAACATCCAATAAGGCGGTTCATTCGAGAGAAATATTTTGCGCAATATTTACGGGCCTCTACGCGTGGGAGACTGCGAGTACCGCAGACGATATAAATAGTTCACGCGGTCTTGATTGCATCCGTTGAAACAGGCTTCCTTTGTGATGGGAATACCAGGTGGAGAAAGACTTAGCTTCGTTTGGCATTTCGAATTGGCGTCAGTTGACACAGACGAGAAACGACTGGCATGCTTTGTTGAACTCGGCCAAAATCGCTTAGGGGGTTACAGCGCTAAACAAAAAGAAGAAAAATTTTGAAATGAAAGTTTGAAACGATTTTCATTCGAACATTAATTTTGTTGTTCAGATGCTTTACGAAAATTCAGATTAGCGTTTTTATGTAGATACAGGGTGTACATGAATTGAAACGGCAACTGACTTAACTCCCGACCTGATTGATATTTCCAGGTTAAAGTGGTAGTTTTACTTAAACAACTCTCTAAAAATATTTAATTACAGCGAAACTACTAAAGTGCTTGTCAAGTTCTCTTGCACTCTGATAACGATAACGTTCGGTTCGAACTGTTAACGTCGACCGATTGTTACTGGATTAACGAGCATACTTACTCGTATGTATGTAGATACAATACTAAAAGTGTATCATAATCGGTTTCTTCCAGTTCAAACTTACTTTTGTATTACTTATTCTCTGGTATTTATTATTCGTTTTCCAACTCTATTTTTATAGTTGAAAGTATTTCGAATTCCAATGTAACTGGTTTTATTCTACGTAGCACAACAGCATTCCATAGCAAATCTCATTTTCCGCTTGTTTTCTCAACTTCACACAATCACATCAGTTAGTAGACATACTAAATTATATCAACAAGCACACATACATATATAAATATATGTATACACATATATGTATGTAGGGTTTTTTATACCCTTTTAAATTATTTTTAATGGTTTTATTTATATTTATACATATATACATGTAGNTATTTATTATTCGTTTTCCAACTCTATTTTTATAGTTGAAAGTATTTCGAGCTATTCCAATGTAACTGGTTTTATTCTACGTAGCACAACAGCATTCCATAGCAAATCTCATCTTCCGCTTGTTTTCTCAACTTCACACAATCACATCAGTTAGTAGACATACTAAATTATATCAACAAGCACACATACATATATACATATGTATATGTATGTAGGGTTTTTTTATACCCTTTTAAATTATTTTTAATGGTTTTATTTATATTTATACATATATACATGTACAACTAGTACTTGAATATACACCATTTTCCACTTTTCGTGACTGAGCTGAACCGCTGCTCATTTAAAGCTCTGTTTTACACTCATTAAATATCACTAAAAGCTCGTTGTAAAATTTCCATTTACCGTTTCACTAATAAATATCTATGAATCCGATTAATTACATATAGTACATTTGCATAGAAATGACTTAAAATTCTTTGTTGTACATACATATGTACATATACATACATATGTAAATTAAATATATTATTTTTATTCACTACTCATTCCACATGGATACGCACAACAGGTTTTTAGGAACCTACTAGACAATTTAGTGTGTATTTTCAAAAACTCTACAAAAAAACTCTACGCACATAGCAAGTTCACAAGCAAGTGGCGTTTCTCCGTGCACGTATCTATTAGCGGCGCGCTCAAGCATTTGTGATCAACTGAGTGTGGCTATAATAAGCAGCGTTACCGATACCGATGCCGCCACCGCTACCGAGTTGGAGTACTCGTATCTGAAGCTGTGGTTCTCTATCATGTCACTTCACATACTCTGACAATTGTTAATACTCGTACATATTGCGATCGCCAATTCGAATTTCTGATCGAGGTTTTCCTCCTTCAGCATCTGCTGATAATGAGAAATGGAAAAATTATAAAAATCGTCAATAAAAATATTGCAAAAAAAAAAAAATCAAAAACACATATGTTTACGGTGACCATATTTATGAGAGCCGAATACGGGAAAAAAAAAATTTGCAAATTTTTTCCACAACAGCTTACAGATCTTAAAGCCTTCTTCAATGATCCTTGATGTATTAGCCCTGAAATTTTTAGGATAATTTTCTCGAGATTTTTACTCCGTAAAATTTGTTTAAAAAAATACGTTAAATTTTAGTACAATAAAGTGCAATTTTTAGTCGCTAAGGTTTACCACTAATTTTTGCCATTTTTTATTTTTTTTTTTACGGTGTTACGCATTTTTTTCAGTATGTTCGACCATTTTTTTTTTTTTTTTTGAAAGAGACGCAAATGAGCAGCCCTTTCCACTCACACTTTATTATACTCAATTTGTATAAGTTACAAAACTGCAAACCAAATTTTTTCTAAAGATTCTAATTAAAAAGTTTGAATTTTTGGTGAAACATTGCAGAATTAATTTTTAAAGTTCTTCGCACAAAGTTGGAAATTTGGTGTTATATGGTTTAAAGTTTTTTATGAATAAAACTGGTTTCTTAAAAAGTTTTTTTGAAAAAAAAATCCCCTCAAATAACAAAACAGTTTAGCTTAAAAAATTTGAAAATACAGCATCAGCTGAGGGGATCTTTTTAGAAATTTTTTTTTAAGAAACTATTTTTATTCATAAAAATACTCCATTTTTGGAGATATTTTCAAATCGGTCCAGCTCACGTAAAGCTTAATATTTTTCCGAAATATTTTACTGAAAGTATATAGTGTTTAATGGATGAAATCTACTTTGGATGAAATTTAACGTGTTAGGAAACATTTCGCGGCTGAGTTGGCTGAAAAAATCCTGGCCAGGACATTTTTAATTAAATATTAAAATATTATTATTATTATTTTTTTTTAATTTTGCACTCATTGGTTTAATGAACAAATTACATATATACCAATCGAAAGCATAAAGCCTATACAATATGTTAAACAGATGAGTGTAAATTTCTAGTATTACCTACCTGTTCATACCTGCCAACCCGATAGGTAGGCCAGGAAAAAATAGACGACCCAATTCTCATCACATATAGGCTTAATACTTAAAATTGCTTTATAATTTGTTCATTAAACAAATGAGTACAAAATTAAAATAATAATAATAATAATAATTTTTGAATATTTAATTAAAACTATCCTAGCCAGGATTTTTTCAGCCAACCAACTAGCGAAATATTTATTAAACCGTTAAATTTTATACAAAAAAATGTCAACAGATGGGTGTAGGTCGTTCCCTTGTCGGATCTTAGACTAATAGTGAGATACTGGTTATCTATACAGCTACGAAGAATAGGTATCAAACTCAACTCAAAATTTATATTTTTTGCGTTATGACACTATTGAAGTAAATGGGCGAAATGTTTGCAGCCGTAATTGCGCCTTCGTACATCTTAACATGTGTTCAAACAACAACAAAATTCGCCAATCATGCTATTTGTGCACCATGCTAGACAGTATGCACCGGATCGTGAATACCCCTATTATTTTTAAAATCTGAGTATGCACTCGTATGAAGGTATGTATTAATAGTACAGATGTATGTACATATGTACAACTGAAACTTTTATTAGTTATTATTTAAATTTTTAGTAACTGACCGCTTTATAGTCGCAAGAGTATTCTAACTTGAAAATCCAGATTCTAGAAAGCTGTTTTCGTTATGCTTTGCTTCTTTGTTTCCACGCATGGAAATATGTACATATGTAACACAGACTCATCGAAAATGGATTGTTGCTATGAATTTTTAAGGGAAATTCAGTTTTTGATGACATAAATGTCGCTGTTGAAGATAAAACTGATATGAATATTTTTACGTGAACAAGTGCGATAGCGATCCGAAAATTGTCACTAACTGGTTACAGAATCTCCCCCCTGGTGAGCTAACCTTTCAATACGGACCCAAGTTAAATCCGCATATTACAATTCGTTAATTAGATGTGTATAGTAGCTTCTCCAGTAAAAAATTGCAACGAGAGCGGCAAAGCAAAATAGAGCGTAAAATTGAGAAGCAGAAAAAGTTATTGAACACAAAACTAGTAAAAACTTGCAAGTGAATAGTTGTTGCTTCGTTTTGACATTCTACTGTAAACATTTTACTATTCATAAATCAGTTTTAAACTCTTTGTACAACATTAATATTTTGATTTCTACTCATTTTACTTTTGTTTTTGTTTTGACATTTACAGGTCTATTCTGCGCTGGTAATAAAAAGTTTGTAACCGGTAAATAAAGTTCCTGTCAATTTTTAAACCCTTTTCGCATTTTGTGTACTCTTGTAACCGGTAAATTTTGTTACCATCTCATAAGCTGGTAACAAAGTATTGCCCCGTTAAATATGCAATGCCAGAATTTGCACAATTCTTCATAGCTGAATTGCTGAATATTTTAACTGCATTACCAACGTACCTAGAATCGCGGTGACAAGAACTGGTAACGTTTTTTGGTAATAAAATTTTCCGGTTACAAAATCTTCGGTAACGTGCAGAATAGACCTGTAATTCTTCTTCTTCTTCTGCTAGCTAATTTCTGCTTTTAAAAATTGCACTATCAAGAATTTCCAGCTCTCCCGTGTTATTACGCTCTCGATTCAGTGCTCCCTTTCAATTTTTTGAGTTACTATACAACTTTCGAATGACTCGCCACTTTTTATTCGGATACATAATTTTCGCTGATTTATTAACAAAAATCAGGTTACATATGTTGTGTAGATTATGTAAATCCAAAGAAAGGACCACCGTACATATTTTCTAGTCAAATTCGCATATAATTCAGAAATAAAATTGGGAAATTTTCACAAATAAAAGTGTGACTCACCTGTTATTTTTTTATTTTCACGCTGCAAAATTTGGTGCGTTGATTGCTCATGTTTGAGTTCATAATTAACTGGTAGTATTTGGAAATGCATATTTCTTATTAGCACATCGTCTGCAATTGGAAAATTTAGCCAAATACGTGTGTGCTCCATTGTACAATATACTATTGTCAGCCGACATGGCAGCCTTGCCTGAAATATGCACCCCTGAGTATGAGGCAACGCAAGAGACGAGTGAGAAAATAGAGAGTCGTTCGTGTGATCCCGTCGAGTCAACATCGTCTGCGAGTCGTGATTGTCATTAAATATATTCCGGTTAATTATAAGGTCATTTTAATAAATATATATAATATCATTTTAAATTACTAGAGTAAACAGACAATTCGTATTTTAGTTAAAAGGAGAAGAGATCGGTAATCCTGACGGTCAACTGGCACTATCTTTAAAAAGTTACAAAGCGAAAAAGAAGTAAGAAAAATTACAACAAAAAAAACAATAGGGGTATTCTCTGAGTCTTGCAAAGCCCTTGCACGGTGCACAGATTGCACGGATTGCACGGAAAAAACCGGTTTTCGTATGGGACAGCTTTGCAAACCGTGCAATCCGTGCACCTTGCAAGGGCTTTGCAAGACTCAGAGAATACCCCTAATATATATTTAATACCCAAAGGAATTCTTTGTCCATGTCATCAAATCTGCACCGTTCGTTAGATTTTCGAAAATGTGGACTTACCCTTGATTTTTGACAATTTATGATCGAAAATTTTTTTATATGAAAAAAATGCGAAGCACCGCCAACAAAAAACAAAAAATTGCCAAAAACCAACTGTAAGTCCAATATACTTAAAATTTGCACTTTGCTTTACTAAAATTTGATGGGCTACAAAACTGAATACCAAATTGTTTTCTAAAGACGCTGATCAAGAAGTTACAAATTTTGGTCAAACTTTGCAGAATTTTCATAATTTTCGCACAAAGTCTGAAATTTGGATTTATGTCGTGTTTGTTAAGTAATCAGCTATACTTTCATAAAAAAAAATAATAAACGTTAAATAAAGTAAAG